GAGCTAAAGTGAGAAGGCGTAAAACTTCGCGTGCGCTGGGTTTGGGTCCCGCCACGTTAAAACCCCGCCCAATGAAAAGAAGCAAACAGCCTCGGATGAGACCCCCTTTTTCTGATGACGACCACGGCAAACGTATAAAGGACTATGATTTAAGGGTATGCACCTGGAATATCCGGACCCTTAATGGGGAAGGTGCCTCTGCCCGGCTGGTTGATGTCCTCGGGAAGACAAAGGCTGACATCACCGCCATCCAAGAAATGCGATGGACGGGGCAAGGTAAAGTAAGCGTGAAGCCTTGCGACGTCTACTACAGTTGCCACGTAAAGGAGCGCAAATTCGGTGTTGGATTCGTGGTAGGAGAGAGACTCCGTCGCCGAGTACTGGCGTTCACCCCGGTGGACGAACGTCTAGCCACAATCCGCATCAAAGCTAGATTCTTCAACATCTCGCTCATCTGCGCCCATGCCCCGACGGAAGAGAAGGATGAGGCGTCCAAGGATCTCTTCTATGAGCGCTTGGAACGTACATATGAGCGCTGCCCCCGACACGATGTCAAAATCGTGCTTGGCGATTTTAATGCCAAGGTGGGCAAGGAAGGGATCTTTGGCGCCACTGTCGGAAAATTCAGCCTCCACGACGAAACGTCCGATAACGGACTGAGGCTGATCGACTTCGCCGGGGCCCGAAATATGGTAATATATAGTACTAGGTTCCAGCATAAGAACATCCACCAAGCTACATGGCTGTCTCCAGATCGAAAAACGAGAAACCAAATCGATCATGTTGTGATAGACGGAAGGCATGCTTCAAGCGTTTTGGACGTACGTACACTCCGAGGGCCAAACATCGACTCGGACCACTATCTTGTTGTAGCCAAGATACGCACCCGCCTCTGTGCAGCAAAAAATGTGCGCCCAACAATGCAAGGAAAGCTTAACGTCGAAAAGCTGCAATCACAACAGACGGCCAATTTATTCGCCACTCGACTCACACACCTGCTCTCTGAGAGCACTCTTCAACAATCCGACGTACGCGAGCAGTGGAACCACATTTCCCGATCATTAAGTACCGCCGCCGAAGAAGTAGTTGGATTTCAGCGAGCCCGAAAGAACAACTGGTACGATGAGGAATGTCAAGAAGCCGCAGAGAAAAAAGATGCCGCCTACAGGGCCACGCTGCGATCGGGCGCAACGCGAGCCATGTGGGACCGTTATAGGGAACTGAAGAAGGAAGCGAGACGTATTTGCCGCAATAAGAAGAGAGAGGCCGAAATACGTGAGTGCGAAGAGCTTGAGATGCTGGCCGACAGGAAGAACGCCCGAAAATTCTACCAGAGGGTTAGGCGACTTACGGAAGGTTTCAAGACCGGGGCGAACTCCTGTAAGAACAACAATGGCGACCTAGTGACCGATGTCCAGAATATACTTAAATTGTGGAGGGAACACTTTTATAACCTACTGAATGGTAGCAGCGCTGAAAGTAGTGAGGAAGACGAACCCGAGTCCCCAGTCGATGATGATGGAGTAGCTGTCCCACCGCCTGACTATGACGAGGTACGAATAGCGATTACGCGGCTGAAAAACAACAAAGCTGCTGGAGCTGACGGCCTGCCAGCCGAGCTATTCAAGTACGGCGGCGAGGAGCTGATGAGGTGCATGCATCAGCTCGTATGCAGAATATGGTCAGATGAACGCATGCCCGACGACTGGAATTTAAGTGTGCTCTGCCCAATCCACAAGAAAGGCGACCCCGCCATACGCGCCAACTACCGCGGAATTAGCCTTCTAAGCATAGGTTACAAGGTCTTATCGAGCGTATTGTGCGAAAGACTGAAGCCCACCGTCAACGAGCTGATTGGACCTTATCAGTGTGGCTTTAGGCCTGGAAAATCCACCATAGATCAGGTATTCACAATACGCCAAATCTTGGAAAAGACCCGCGAGAATAGGATCGACACACACCATCTATTTGTCGATTTCAAAGCCGCTTTCGACAGCACGAAGAGAAGTTGCCTTTATGCCGCGATGTCTGAATTTGGTATCCCCGCGAAACTAATACGGCTGTGTAAAATGACGTTGAGCAATACCACCAGCTCCGTCAGAATAGGGAAGGACCTCTCCGAGCCGTTTGATACCAAACGAGGTTTCAGACAAGGGGACTCCCTTTCGTGTGATTTCTTTAATCTTATGTTGGAGAAGATAATAAGAGCCGCAGAACTGAACCGCTCAGGCACAATACTTTATAAGAGCGTACAATTGCTGGCGTATGCCGACGACATCGATATTATCGGTAAAAACAAGGGCTACGTCTGTTCTGCCTTCTCGGGATTGGATAGAGAAGCAAAGCGAATGGGTCTGGTGGTGAACGAGGACAAAACGAAGTATCTCCTGTCAGCACACAAACAGTCAGAGCATACGCGTCTTGGCACCCACGTCACTGTTGACAGTTACAAGTTTGAAAAAGTAGACGACTTCGTTTATTTGGGAACCAGCATTAACACCAATAATAATGTCAGCCTTGAAATCCAACGGAGAATCACTCTTGCCAACAAGTGCTACTTTGGGCTGAGTAGGCAATTGAGAAGTAAAGTCCTCTCTCGTCGTACAAAGATCACACTCTATAAGTCACTCATCATGCCTGTGCTGGTGTATGGCGCGGAAGCATGGACAATGAAAGCATCTGATGAGGCGGCTCTTGGAGTTTTCGAGAGAAAGATTCTGCGAAAGATTTACGGACCTTTACGCGTTGGTGATGGCGAATATCGCAGACGATTTAACGATGAGCTGTATGAGCTTTACAACGATATAGACATAGTGCAGCGAATTAAAATTCAGCGGCTCCGCTGGCTTGGCCATGTCGTTCGGATGGACAGAAACGCTCCTGCTCTGAAAATATTCAACGCGGGCCGCGATGCTGGGAACAGAGGAAGAGGAAGGCCTCCTCTGCGTTGGAAAGACCAGGTGGAGAAGGACTTGGCTTCACTTGGCATTTTCAATTGGCGTTAGTTAGCACAGAAGAGAAATGACTGGCGTGCTGTTTTGGACTCGGCCAAAATCGCTTAGGCGGTTACAGCGCCAAATAAGAAGAAGAAGAAGAAGACTTGAACGGATTCGTAAAATATATATATTTTTAAAATTACTGAATCTATTGATGTACAAAATAAAAAATTGGACACTTCATTAATACACAAACACCTATTTTTTCGAAAATCTGGATATCCGGTTAATATCCGTTCATTATTTTATTTGGGTATCCAGGTATTCGAACCTTTTAATCAGTTTTTTTCAATATCCAGATTATCAGGACATTCAAAAAATCCCGATAGAACTCCCAGCCCTATTGCTTATGTATTCGTGGAAAGGCAATTTTATTCAAAAATAAACTTTATTTGTGTACTCGTATGTCTGTGCCAACAAATATTTCGTACCACGAAAAAAGTAGCAAACGAAAAGAAATGATTGAAATCGAAAGCAACTTAACGTGAGTAAAAGAAGAGAATCTGGGTCGTTGAGCTACGATGGGTAGACATAAAATAACATAAAGCCAAGCGTAAGGGAATGTCAATTACCTGAAATTGCGAGTTGATGGGCAACGTGAGTTGGCCAAGGAGTGGGAGTACTATTTTTTCTTGGTAAAAGACATAGTTCGTAAATACCGTTTAACAACGTATAATAGCAGGAATTTGCGCATTATCAACATACATACTTATACATAAGTAATTGCCATCAAAGGAACACCGTCAAAATATTAATAAAGCGCCAACTTTCATAGCAACAAAACTAGAAATCAATTCTGGTATGTGGGCACTTAGGCGCAATGTATGAAAAAGAATTTGGAGCAAGCTGTGCGTGTGCTGGGGTGTGGCGAAGCGAAGTATTTACACACAATTTCAGATGTCCAGCAATCATAATTGAATAAAATCACGTAGGTACATGCGTAGGCAGGTGAATTTATGTACATATGTATGTATGTATTTCTACATGTGACACATATACGGCTCCTGTACGCAGTACGCATATTAATGCTAATAAAATGCAACAACAATTCATGTTGAAATGGCATATTTCTTTTTCTAAGTTATGCTTTTTGACTGGCAACTACCGGGGCTGTGTGCGATGAGTTGGTGACTGACTTCCCTTTCATTCGACGCGGGTGTAAAAATAATAACAACAACAAAAACAAACTACGCACATAATCAGCCATAAGCATAAAATGTAGCCGAAAGAAGCAACTGAGAAGGCCAAAGAAAGGTAAAGAAGTCAACACAGACATTGAATTTGTGCACTCGAAGCCTAACTAACAAAAGTACTACTATGTATGCAAAGTGTAAATGTTGTTTTTGCTGCTGGCAGTCATGCAATTATGGACAAGAAATTGTTTTACTTTGGAAATGTATGTCGAAAAAAACACCAAAAAGACAAGCAACGGACAGTGCGTCCAAAAATCACAATCGAGTGGCTAGCCGGAGGTAACCAGATTGTCGCAGGCATACGCGTTACCTTAGCATTGTGTAGCGCTCAATAGTGACAATTTCAATTTTGCTTATTTATAATGCAATAGCGCGCGTGCTTGCCGCTTCTTCATTGACCACCACCACCCCCTTCCCCCATGCCATGACCAAGTCGACCTACCGTTAACGCAAGTGCGTATTGTTGTTGTTGCGCATTTTGGCGTTTGCATATTTTCTTGCCTTCCGATTTCTAGTAGACAAAATAGGAATTGGAAAAAGTTGGATCTTTTTCGATTACGCATTGCCTAAGTCGCGGCGACGACACTACCTTACACCTTAAATTCGATACTTTTGAATTCGACGCATTGCAATTCGGTTTGATAGATTCACCTCGTATAAATAGCTGTGCTTGGCACTTAATCAATCACAAAACAATTTCAACCTTCAAACGGTGTGTGCTGTGTGTGTGTGTTCAACCCACGATAAAACGGATTAATTAATTAACACAACAACAAAAAAACAGATTAGAATAAACAAAAACTCAATTAAAATGTGTTCGAAATTCGTTTGTGCCGTACTCGTCGCTTCCTTCATCTGCAGCGCTGCCGCCTTGCCCTCACAGCAACAGTTGGACAACAGCGAAAAGGATATTATTAATTTGATCAACAGAGTCGACAGCACCGATACGCTGCCACTTTTTGCTGGCTTGCGCGTTGAACGTACAGAAACTGGTCGTTCTTTTGGCGCCTCCGCAAAAAGCATCGAATCAGTCGACGAACGCGTCGAACGTTATCTGGCCACACACGAACTGAACTTCGGTCTGCCAAATGATGAGGATGAGGAGACCGAGAACGAATACGCCGGACGCGCCATGGAGGGTAAGACGAAAAGCAATAGAAAAGAATTAAATAAATACATAGTTAGTGGAAAAAATATTTGATGGAGATGAACTGAGTGAAAAGTGGAATTAAAGTAAAAAATTCTGAAAAACTTGAATTCTTTAAGTGCGTTGAAATTCGTTTACGTTTTCGAAAATCCGTATGAACTCAAAAATAGAATGCAATGTGAAAAATATGTGTTCCGTATTTAATGAAACAAAGCATTGTCCATTGTGTTTAACGCAGCTTTTTTCATGCAAATATCATGACTAAACTAAATTACCTAGTTGTACACAATGAAAATTTTTAAAAACATTTTTGATAATGGCTCAGACTTTTGCCCATTGGAGCTTTCGCATGCCTAACCTTTTTAAGACAAGTAATTTAGCTGAATTGTTTTGTTTCAATCTAATATTTTTTGGGCTCAGCTTTCTCCCCTTTACCTCATGCCATTATGTACCTGTAATCTTATTGTCAAAAAACTATAAAAAATAACCGATATAACTAGTAGCGAATGTATACGACTGAAGACATTTTGTGACGTAAATCAATCGATATTTGCAATCTCACCATTGTCGTTGAATTTGATACAGTGAAAACACGCCCTAGGATAGTCCTTTCGTGTTACATTTCTTCAGTTGTCCGATCTGTATAAAAGATCAAATACATGCGAGTACATACAAAATATGGTTCATACTACAGTAAAAAAAGATATATATATATATATATATATATATATATATATATCGAAAATACTTTGCATGTAAAAAATGTGAAACTTCTTCAACAAAAGATTCTCAGAAAATCAACGCGAACTAAAATTCAATGAGTTACAAATCTGCATACTCAAAACAAATTTAAGAAATCTGATTAAAAAGTTGCAAATTTTATGCAGATTTATTTCTGCGCAAATTTTTTAAATTATATTTTTTGTTTTAGCATGAACCATATTTCTATAAAAAATTAAAATAAAAACTGTTGCTTATATTGTAAAACAATTCTCTGGCCTAATACTTTTTTCGATGTTTTGTGCTCCATGCATAAGAAGAGAGCTTAAGATCCTCTTAAGACTAAATGCTGTGAACTTATATTTGGTTTGGAGACAAAGCAGTATAATGACCTTCAGTGTCATATTTCCTTACAGAATAAAGTTCGTTGTAAAATACATTAACGATTTTCTTACGTATCCTGCGCTCAAACTCCCATTTTTTACTCTCTCCTAGTTCTCTTTTAGTCTTTTATTTATTTATTTAGTTCGATGTTGTTTCCCCCTAATAATTTAAACTTTATTTATATTTATCCATCAAAAAAAACAAATAAACAAAAATCGGCACGGATTTCGCATTCCGAATTACAAAACTTTGTATCTTTATAGCCATTCCGCTAAAATATTTCGTAAAAATATTAAGTTATACGTTAGCTCGACCGACCTGAAAATACATACCCCCAAAAATTGTATTGCTTTTATTCCGTTGTTAAAATTTTTAAAAATTTGCATGCATACCTTCCTTTATTTTAAGCCGAAACTATTTTATCAACAGAGATGATTTTTGGGAAAAAATATAAAACAGTTAATTTTAGTTATAAAAAAAAAAATTTTTTTGAAAGTATGTATTTTCAAATCGGTCCAGGTCACGCCAATCTAAAAATGTTTCAAAAATAGTTTGGCGGAAGTCTTAAATTATAAACAAAATTTATAGATTCAGTGGAAAACCCTCAACTTCTATGGTGAGGCACCCTAATGTTTGTATATGAATGATTAAATTAGCCTTTAATATCCGCTTTTTATTCTTTGTGCTCACTAATATTGTTCTTAATTTTTTCGCTTTCTTTTTAAGTGTTTTTCGCTTATTATTGTATTATTTTTTTACTTTATTTTTTTTAGTGCTAAATTTTTATTATTTTATTTTGTCACTGAATTTTATTTTTATTTATTTTTATTATGTCTTTATAATTTCGGTGGAAAACCTGCAAATTTTATGGAGAGGCACACTAATGCCTGCATATATACTATTAACATGGCCTTTATAAAACCATTATAATGTCCGTTTTTAATTCTTGGTACTGAATAGTAAATATTATCTTTAATTTTTTTTCGAGTTATTTTAAAGTTTCTTCGCTTATTATTGTATTCCTTTTAATATATTTTTTTAGTGCTAAAATTTTAATTGTTATTTTTTTTTATTTTGTCTTCTCTGCTACATACTTTTGCATAGCAATTAAAATTGTTGCTCAAATATACATATGTATGTATATATTTCAAATTCAATCACCATTAGTTAAAAAAGATTTTACATTTACATTTACAAGACATTTATTTAGATTTCTCTATCTATCTTCCTTTCAACTTTTCCAAAGTTAGCTCTCATATTTAAAAATTTGTTTAAAAAATTATTCGGGATCCTATCAAAGCCTCCCAACTATTTAATTAATAAACACCTTGCAACAATGTTGCCACTTTATTCAAACTCAAAAAACACTAACTTTCCCCCTTTCCGCCGCTTGACCGAAACAAATTTTTCGGCACAATAACACAATTGGCCATTGAAAATCGGTCGCACGTCGCTATTGTGACATAAATCAATAAAAAGTAGTAGAGCGTGCAAACAAAAAATCAATTTAAGAACCGTTACGAATGTCGCCTACTTGCCATCCGCATTCGCTCCACACACACACACGCACACATACAGTTACAACAAACAAGTTCATTCACCATTGTGGCACCATTTCCAATGCAAAACTTTATAATAACTTTTATATGCTGAACTTCGACATCACCTTAATTGAGTAATAATCGTAACGGTAATTACGGCCTTACACACTTGCATGCGCCACTTGACGTTACTGCAGTCCCGAATGCCAATTAGATATTGTATTGTATGTGCACTACTAGAGCAAAATGCACCAGAACACACACACACATACATACATATGCTATTGGACTCTGACAGCAAAGTGCTTAGAATAAATAAAGCGATCGAACAAAATATCTGACCATCAGTGTTGCCGCGATATCGTGAAAAAATGTTTCGTAAAAGGAACTAAAAATTGATGAAATGTATCACCAAATTTTTATTTAAGTATCAATGTTGGAAAAAACTTAAAGTTAGAAAAAACTTACTCACGCAAGCTCTTGCCTCAATCCTTATCCATTCGTAATGAAATCTACTAGCCATAAATGTGATTGCTTTAGAAAAAAGAGAACCATTTTGAAATATGAGTGTTTTTACTCTCTGCAAAATAATTTACGCAAGCTCACATACACGGTTTTGCATTATCTTCATACGCGGTTTTGTACTTTAAACGACGATTTGCTCTTTGATATGTATTAAAATTTGTACTACGCGAAAATTTTAAATACATCGCGAAATGAGCAAAAAAAAAAATAAAATATCTTCCGAAAATACACGTATCCCTTTTGAAGTATATGGATCAAAATGGCAACACTGCTGACCACAGAGCTGTTGGTCTATGGAGACTCTTTTTTGTTGGGCCTTGTGGTGCGGACATATATATACGAGTATATGAAGCAAATGAGTGTGATCAATATGCATTTTATTGCTGCACAAATGGCATTAACCTGCACAAGCGCAAACTGGAAACTGCCCAGTAAGAAAAGGGAAGGTTTGGTAATATGTATAGAAAGTAATGTATCGCCCTCAAAGACTATATCTTATAAGATGCATCATTTTTTTTATAAAACTCCGTGCGCCCGTGCACCAGGATTTGAATTCGCGACCAAAAAGTTGATAGTCGAACGCGTTACCATTCGGCTACGGCAGCCGTTGAGATAATGTGGAAAAAAGACATACTTAAATTTGTTCTCAAACAATTTTTGTTTGTGGCTTCAAAACTGCCACTATACCTGCTATCGTCTCCGTTTGGGAAAATGGAATGTTTGGTAATCCTCACTACACATTACGTGCTCGCTTACGCTGCGATCCGTCTTTTCATTCAAACGTAGCCGTTAATCTCTTCGTAGTAGAAAATAGTGATGCTTTGATCATTTTCCCCTGGGTGCAGCATGCATGTTTTGTATGTGTGTGTATGTGCATCTATATTCTTTTATGCTGCCGATTTAAATGAGCACAAAAACCTCAGGAATCTTGCGGAGCTACACAAGTAAAGAACGTGGTATGAAATACCGTTGTTCGGTGATATATTGCTGATGTTTGTTAACACCTTTTCTGCTTCTTGCCTACCCACTGGCTGGCGTATCAACGGGATGTACGGCATTTATGTACGCGTATCTGCTTAAATACATAAAAACACTTTTTTACAAACTTTTTAAAAAATTTAAAACCTTAAGTATTGACTCACATGTATATACAAATGTATGTATGCATGTATGAATGCATGTTTTTTTTTGTTTTTGTGTTTACTTGATCCTAATCTGCCACCCACTACAATACACACTTGACTTGTATATTATTACGCTACTTGAACTTTATTGAATCCCACGCTAAAAAGAAACGCCCCGCAGACAAATCCTTCTATGTGCATATGTATGTATAAAGCCATACTTTGTGTTTGTACATATTTGTGTGTATGTATATGCCAAATTCACGGTGCGTAGTAGTTAACTCAGAATCGGCAGTCAGTACAAAAGTCTGTAGTTAACTGCCGATTCTGAGTTAACTACGCACTGTGAATTTGTGGCCCTATGTATTTGTAATTTGTTTATAATAGCCAAGGGCACGAAATTTATATTCTTCGCGCATTCTGCCCCAGCATCAGCTTCTTATCAGCAAGTTCTGCAAGTTGTTTATCTTGTGCGCAGTTTTCATATGTGACCGCTACCACTTTTGGCAGCTGCTTCTTAACTTTTCCCATCACTCCGGGTGTTAAGCTTTTCCCTGAGAATCAATACAGCTTTGTTTAGTTTTTGAATGCTTTTCTTCACAGAAGTAGAGGGAGTGTGCATAGACCTGCATATTTATGAGCTGTAATCCCTTCGCTTGTCGAAAGTTAAACAAACCATTACGCTGGCGTTAATAAGC